CCCCAAAACCCCAAAACCCCAAAACCCCAAAACCCCAATTACAAATTATAAAATTGAATTTTAAACAAGCTTGACAAAGTATGGAGGAAGTTATGCCAAAAATAGACTCAGAATCTGACAACAAGTACTTCGCAGGTATTCCCTCTGAATTAGAAAGTTTAGTGTCCAATGAGGTGAGTACTAGGAAACCAAAATAAACCTAAACAAGGTGTCAGGAACATAAAATCTCCCAGTAAGATCAGAATTATGACGCCTTAGAAGGTTCTATAAAGAAATCAAGCAAAAAGGGCCAGACCTTAACTCCTTCAAAAGACCAATTGCAACGGGATATAGGCAGGAAAATGCTAACAAAAATCTATAATAACCCTCTGAGTGTATCTAAGTCACCCTCAAAGGACCTTACATTTGATAATTTCCGAACATTCATGGATGAGATGGGCATCACCATTGAAACCGAAAGAGCTCAAACCGAATTTGATGAAATAAAGATTAAATAAAATTGAGGAGGATTATATGAAACAACTACAAGACCACTATGAAGTCACAAAGAAATTCAAGTAATTTTCAAGGATCATTTTAGGGAAACCAAGAAAGAAAAAGTGATTGGTTCTGCTAGGGTTATCCAAAAATACTGGAGACTAAATAAAGCAGAGAGGCGCCATAGGGCTGCTAGAGTCATTCAAAGATGTCTTAAAAGGCAATGTATTAAGAAGAAGCTCAAAAAGAGCTTGGATATAGAAGCTATTCGATCAAGGTATCTCTTTCGTCATCTTTCGTAGGTATTCAAAGCCTGAAAATCTCTCTAAAATTATAAAAATCCAGTGCTTCTTCAGACGGAAGCTAGCTTGAACAAGACTAATAACAATGAACAAAATCTGACCGTACAAGGACGAGAAGTTGTTCTTCTCAAAATTGACGCAGAGGCGTATTATGTATACTTTGAGTCGACAAATAGACACTTATCTTGTACAGACTAGTATGCGGTCACGAATAGAGCTAGAAGCGATTGATAAATACGACCAAGGCCTGAAAGATACTCTGAACTCAAAGGAATATAAAGAGTATATGTGTGTGAAGGATGACAGTGGGCAAAACATATGGTTTAACATCACCCAGCCATTACACCAGGCTTTGCATCCACTAAAGACTGAGTTCCTTACTCATAAAAAGGAAGTTTACAAGCTAGCCATTATGGAAATTATGAAGAAACGCCAGATGGCTGACCAAAGAAGGACCTTCATCTATGAGAAGGAGTGAGAGATTTATCAACAAATGGGCCAAGAACTCAAAAATCTAAGGCTGAAAATGATGTTTTAAGAGAAATTTGCTGCTCAGCCTTGCTTTATTATATATCCTTCAATAATTTTTCAATTTTAAGGGGTTTTGGGGTTTTGGGGTTTTGGGGTTTTGGGGTTTTGGGG